AAAAATTAGCTAAATAATTTTTTGGCTAATCTGGTTAAGTTATTATCTTGGTATAATAGATTTAATAAAATTACAAAATTATATATGCATGTACATACGTATGTATGTAACTTTTGTATTAAATAGTACTGATTATTGCAATAGTATTTGGTGCTTAAAAATATTTAGTATTAATATTATTGTTATTTTATTATCATTTTAATGTCATTTATAAAAATATTTTTTATAACTTGTCATTTTGTCATAGTTTTGTGTAAAATTTTTTAATAATAAATAACATTGTTATTTTAAAATGATATATCATTTATGGTTATTTTCATAAAAATTTTAATGACTTTGTCATTTGCCATCATTGACTTTAAGTATATCAGAAAGTTTTGCTAATATTTGTTTTATGTGTTTTGTTGTTTCCTCTATATAACTTTTTGTTTTTTTTTTGCTATAAGTTTTTGTAATCATTTCATATCTTGGTCTATCTCTTAAGTCTGCTTTAATTGTTATATCAAATTCATCTATAATACTAAATATATTTCTTTTATAATGAAGTTATATAAGGATATTTCTTTATTTAATGCTATCTTGAATTTACAATTGTTTTTTTTTTTAAGTTCGAGTTTTGTACCAAAAATTTTATACTGTCTATACTATTTTATTCTTCTAAAAGAGCTTCTATTCTTTTTTTTACTTCTTCTCTTGTAACAAGCCTTCTTCCAGAATATTCTGTTAAATTTTGCTTCATATAACTTGTTGTTTTTTGATTACCCTGTAAAAAAAATCAAATCAAATTTTTTCATAATTTCTCTGTGTATAAATTCTATATTATTTCTATCTAAATTACTAAGTAACAATATCTATATTTCTTCCATAAATGTAGCATATTTACAGAATTTTTATGGAGTAATTTTAAAAAACTAATGAAAATTATATTAAAGTTTTACTGAACCAATGCGATAATAAAATCAAAATAATATTAATTATGGAAATTAGTTGGAGATTTCATTAAAATTTATGTAATAATTTACTGAATTATTCAATAATGAAAGTAAATAATATGGAATAAACACGAAAACTTATGAAAATTCAAATAGGCACATATGGAACTTTTTTATAATTATTCTGGAATAAACATGGGAACATTACTGAACTACTATCACTATCACTGTAGTAGGTATAAATAATATAATAGAACTTTGTATTATGACCATAGAATAAACCCAGAAATATTACTGAGCTTAAATGGATAAAAAGCTAGAGCTTTAATATATATTTTATTTATAAATAAAAATCTGATATTTATTTATATAACTATACACATGTGTATAGAGTATATGCACCTTTTTGATCATACCAAATTTTAGTTTTTTGACTTTTTACCAGCTCTTGTTTTATGTGCGGTTTTTTTACCCCATGCTCTCTTTTTCGCTTTCCGCCTATATAAGTAACAAATTAAATTAATAAATAAATTAAATAGATATAGTATGAAGTTATAAAACAATATTATATATTTATAAAACAATATTTAATAGTATTATTTAAAGCATAGTAAATTAAACTTAATCCGGGCCATAATTTGAATTAATACCACTAAATATTCTTTCACATAAATATAGCTAAAAATCATTTGAATTACCAGAATCTTGTGCACTGTGTTCAGATATATTTTCGATATTATTAGATTTTCGAACAGAGAAATAAAAACAATTTTTTAATAATGATGAAACATTATCCTTTGGAACTACAGCGCTTTGTTCTATATTTATATTTTAATAGAAGGGCAGATATTTTTTAATACGTAGTATTACATAGTTCCAAGTCAAAAGGTTTATATATTACTATCGTTATCAAGATTTATAGCCTGATGGTGGTGATCGATAACTTTAATATTTGTACTATGTGCTTAACAACTACTGATCCCAGTCAAGATAATACAACAACCACTGATCCTACCTTCAATCAAGATAACACAACAACCACTGATCCTACTTTCAGTCAAGATAACACAGCTCTTGTAAAAAAGATGCCAAAAAAAAGAAAATCGGCCTTCATGCAAGCACATAGTACAAATATTAAAGTTATCGATCACCACCATCAGGCTATAAATCTTGATAACGATAGTAATATATAAACCTTTTGACTTGGAACTATGTAATACTACGTATTAAAAAATATCTGCCCTTCTATTAAAATATAAATATAGAACAAAGCGCTGTAGTTCCAAAGGATAATGTTTCATCATTATTAAAAAATTGTTTTTATTTCTCTGTTCGAAAATCTAATAATATCGAAAATATATCTGAACACAGTGCACAAGATTCTGGTAATTCAAATGATTTTTAGCTATATTTATGTGAAAGAATATTTAGTGGTATTAATTCAAATTATGGCCCGGATTAAGTTTAATTTACTATGCTTTAAATAATACTATTAAATATTGTTTTATAAATATATAATATTGTTTTATAACTTCATACTATATCTATTTAATTTATTTATTAATTTAATTTGTTACTTATATAGGCGGAAAGCGAAAAAGAGAGCATGGGGTAAAAAAACCGCACATAAAACAAGAGCTGGTAAAAAGTCAAAAAACTAAAATTTGGTATGATCAAAAAGGTGCATATACTCTATACACATGTGTATAGTTATATAAATAAATATCAGATTTTTATTTATAAATAAAATATATATTAAAGCTCTAGCTTTTTATCCATTTAAGCTCAGTAATATTTCTGGGTTTATTCTATGGTCATAATACAAAGTTCTATTATATTATTTATACCTACTACAGTGATAGTGATAGTAGTTCAGTAATGTTCCCATGTTTATTCCAGAATAATTATAAAAAAGTTCCATATGTGCCTATTTGAATTTTCATAAGTTTTCGTGTTTATTCCATATTATTTACTTTCATTATTGAATAATTCAGTAAATTATTACATAAATTTTAATGAAATCTCCAACTAATTTCCATAATTAATATTATTTTGATTTTATTATCGCATTGGTTCAGTAAAACTTTAATATAATTTTCATTAGTTTTTTAAAATTACTCCATAAAAATTCTGTAAATATGCTACATTTATGGAAGAAATATAGATATTGTTACTTAGTAATTTAGATAGAAATAATATAGAATTTATACACAGAGAAATTATGAAAAAATTTGATTTGATTTTTTTTACAGGGTAATCAAAAAACAACAAGTTATATGAAGCAAAATTTAACAGAATATTCTGGAAGAAGGCTTGTTACAAGAGAAGAAGTAAAAAAAAGAATAGAAGCTCTTTTAGAAGAATAAAATAGTATAGACAGTATAAAATTTTTGGTACAAAACTCGAACTTAAAAAAAAAAACAATTGTAAATTCAAGATAGCATTAAATAAAGAAATATCCTTATATAACTTCATTATAAAAGAAATATATTTAGTATTATAGATGAATTTGATATAACAATTAAAGCAGACTTAAGAGATAGACCAAGATATGAAATGATTACAAAAACTTATAGCAAAAAAAAAACAAAAAGTTATATAGAGGAAACAACAAAACACATAAAACAAATATTAGCAAAACTTTCTGATATACTTAAAGTCAATGATGGCAAATGACAAAGTCATTAAAATTTTTATGAAAATAACCATAAATGATATATCATTTTAAAATAACAATGTTATTTATTATTAAAAAATTTTACACAAAACTATGACAAAATGACAAGTTATAAAAAATATTTTTATAAATGACATTAAAATGATAATAAAATAACAATAATATTAATACTAAATATTTTTAAGCACCAAATACTATTGCAATAATCAGTACTATTTAATACAAAAGTTACATACATACGTATGTACATGCATATATAATTTTGTAATTTTATTAAATCTATTATACCAAGATAATAACTTAACCAGATTAGCCAAAAAATTATTTAGCTAATTTTT